TCAGCAGAGAGAATGTTGTCCCACTTTATGGACGAGGGAGCCAGAAGCCCCAGGATCCCAGGTGAGAGACTGGAGGTGGTGTGGAGGGAAGGTTGAAGGCTAGTGCCCTGGGAAGAGGGTGTGGAGGAGGAGAGGAGAAAATTCCCTGTTTGATGTTTTCTCTCCTATTCCTCAGATTGAAAACTCCACCCCGCCCCCAGGGCCAGCGACCAGCTCCAGAGAGCCGAGGGGTGAGTCTTCTTGTACAATTCTGTCTTTTCCTTGCCAAAGATTTGCCTGATTCCCCTCTGACTTTTTCTGCCTCCCTAGGGATTCCAGCCGTTTGGTGATACTGGTGGCTTTCACTTCTCATTTGGTGTTGGTGCTTTTCCCTTTGGCTTTTTCACCACGGTCTTCAATACCCATGAGCCTTTCCGCCGGGGTACAGGTAAGAGTCACACTCGGCTCCTAGCAGGGATCCTTCTCAATATCTTGGGCCCCCTCCTGGCCTAGGAGTATATGCTTCTGCAGCTTTCCTCTCTCCCACAGGTGTGGATCTGGGACAGGGTCACCCGGCCTCCAGCTGGCAGGATTCCCTCTTCCTTTTTCTCGCCATCTTCTTCTTTTTCTGGCTGCTCAGTATTTGAGCTGTGTCTCCCTCCTGCCCACCTCCAGCTAGAGGAGAATCAGTATTGGGGGTCCCTGCTGACCCTTCCTTACTCCTGGATCCCCCTGACCCCACCATTTCTGTTGGATAAGGCTAACCTTGGCCACTCTCCAGGAGGGTGTGGGGAGGAGGAGTGACATCTGTGCATAAAATGGGAGAGGCTTCTGCTCTGAACTACCTGCTCAGTAGCACAGTAACTCCCAGCCCTAGGGGAGGAGGACAGACTGAAGAGATTGTCTGTTTCTCCTCTCTTCTAATCCTTTGCTTTCCCCCAGATTTCTTGATTTGATGTTGAAAGGTGGGCAAGTCTTTCTCTGACTCTCCCCCACTTTCCCTCTTGTTGATTAATTTAATTGTTCTCTTCCCAGTGCCTAAGTGTCTAATATGGGATCTGACTCTAAGTGCTTACCTCATTCCCCACCCCACCCCCACTACCTCCTTTATTTCAAATTCAATAAAAAAGGTGAAATGTGTTGATGGGAACTCTTCCCAGGTTCTTTCTTCCCTCCTTCCTTCCGGGACAGGAGCATATCCTTCCCAACTTGAGTAGATGTTTGGTGTGGTGTGGGAAAGCGTGGGGGTGAGCCCCTCTCCTCAGGGCTCCTGAGGGTGCAGGGGTGAGGTGGTCTCACACACACACACGAATGCATATGGGTGAGATTTGTCAAGTGTTTACTCATTCTGTTTGTGGGGGGCTCTGGTTATGGAAGAAGGTTTGGTGAAGTGGGGTGGAGATTGTTCAGAGGAGAGCTGGTCTTGGTCCAGAACAGTTCAAAGGAAAAAGAAAAGGAAGCTGATGGACGATGGGGTCTGTCTGTGGGCCCCTCAGGCCCGTCCTGCACCACTCTCGGCTGCCTCGGGCTCCTCCTCCTGATTCAGCTCTGTGTGCTCCTCCTCCTCCTCCTGGTTTTCTGGGGCCTTCCTGAGGAGGAGGATTGGGGAGAATTCTGCACATGCCTGGCACTCCATCGTTGCACCCCCCCCCATCACTTAACTGCCTGGAAGCCCCAAATCTGAGGTATCTAGCTTTCTCCACTCACCTCTCCTCTCTTTGGCGTTGCTGCCTTCGCCATATGATGGCCCCAATGAGCAGGGCGGCTGTCCCCAGGCCTCCCAGGATCCCCAGGGCCAGGGCCAGAGTTCCCAGCCCTGACCCTCCCACAGAGCCTGCAGGGAGAAGGGGAATACTGAGGGCACTGTTCCCACTGCTCACCATTTCTTTATTGTTGACCATCTCCCCTGTCACATGTGTTGGGGACTGTCTGCTTCTATCTGACTTTGTCCAATCCCTCACCTGCAGTTGGTCCCTCCTCTCCTGTTTCTGGAAGACAAAGTTGGAGCAAGTCAGAAGGGAAGACTTCAGTTTGGGAGAAGGTGGAGCCCAGCGGAGTCTTTCCTTTTTTTCAGTCCAGAGGGGAGAGGCTGGGCTGCTTTCTTGGCAGGATTTGGGTAGGGCAGAGGAGGGCTGGGTGTGGGTGCACTGAGGGAGGAGTGGGGTGGCTCTTGGGGATAATGCCAGAGTGAGGTAGGGAGTTGGAGCCTGCACTGTCCCTCACCCCAGCCCCAGGCTCCTTGGGATTTGGGGAGAATTCTCACCGAGGATGCTGATGCTGACAGCAGGGCTTTCCTGGGGCCCATGGCTGGGATGGGTGGCCACACAACTGTAGGTTCCCTGGTCCTGAGGCCCTACCTCAGGGAGGAGCAGCACGGAGCTGGGGGCAAGGGGCAGGGCAATGCCCTGGTAGGGGAAGGAGGACAGGAGACTATTACAAAACCCCTGTCCACACATCTCATATTCCTGTCTTTCTGTCTCCACACCCTCAGATACCCTATCTTCCTCCTTGGCCGCCTCTCCCTCCATGAGCCCTTGGCCTTCCTTCTAATTGCCAGTGTGGTTCTCTCTACCTCCCAGCCCCTCTCTCCAGGTCACTCACATCCTTCATCCAGTGGATTTGAGCAGAGGGCTGGGCAGGAGCTTCACAGGTCAGGGTCACGGTTCCACCGGGAGCTACTGCTCCACCTTTTGGCTCCACCACCAATTGGACCTCCAGAGGCACAGGCTCTGGGGGTAGGAAGGGGCATGAGGTTGAGAGTTACACCTGTGAGTGGTCCCAGTGGCCATGGGCTTGACCCCTCTCTCCCTGAGGGCCATACTTCCAGAATGTGCTCACCTGAGCTTGGGGCCCTCCCCAACTTTGTGCTCACCCCAGACACTGGGCTGGATGGGGGCTGTGTGCAAGGCCCGGCGCCGCGGAAGGGCCGGGCTGAAGCTACAGGAGAAGGTGGGGTGGGGAGCTCCTCCCCGGGCTGGGTTCACCATCAGCTCTGACTGGAGGGTGAAGAGCCCTGTCTCAGGGTGTCTCCTGGTCTCTTCCTTCACAGACACTCCTATGGTGGTGGGGAGGGCAAGACAAGACATCCCAGGGTGGGCATCGGAGAGAGATCAGGAAGAAGGCAGCTAGGAGAGGGGACTTGGGACTCACCCTTCCCATCAGGTAGCAGGGGTTTCCCATCCAAGTGCCAGCTAAGAGTCCCGGCAGGGTAGCCCCCCTCGGACACACATGTCCCCACCTGGGGAAAGAGTGGTGACCTCATCATCCTTTGAAAATGAGATGCCATACACGCACACTCAGAGCTAGGCTCCCCTCCCATTCACAGGACTAGTTTCTACTTCTCCCGCTCTCTTCCACTACCTTATTGGGGATACCAGCCATGAGTTCAGAGGCAGGATCTACAATTTCTGGCTTCCCAGGAATCTCTGAAGGAGGGAAAAATCCAATCAGAGGCTGCAGCTTTGAAGGTTTTCAAACTCCAGGTGTGGGAGTGGGGGCAGCGGAAGGGCTGGGGTTGAAGGAAGGCTTTCTCTTAGATGAGAGGTGGGCCTTGGAGAAGTCCCTGGAACCCTTACGGTAGACTCGAACTCGGTAGTTGGACTTGGTCTCCTTTCCATTCCTGTTCGTTGCCCGGCACCGGAAAGTCCCCTCATCTTGGATCCCCATGGCTGGAAGAAGGAGGGAACCGTTGGGGAGGACATGCGCCACACTATCCCAGGGGCCTCCCTGGGGAGACACGACCTTCCAAGCTTCTGTCCGGCCTGTGTTCTGGAGAGAGGAGAGGGGCCTAAACAGTGAAGTCATTTGAGAAGGGACTGCTGAGGCAGGGTGGCGTGGATGCACATCATCACTGGGCTCTCCCAAGTTGGCCGGCTGACAGGAGCCCTGCTTACCAGTTTCCATTCCAGCTGCTGGGGTGGTTTCTTGGGGGCCCCCTTACAGTTCAGCACCAGTGGCTCCCCGATCCGGGCTGTGATGTTTTGACCGCCACCTATTGCCCCTGGGAGACAGCACCATGGTGGAGGGCAGGAAGGGAGATGGGGGCTAATGGTGCTAGGACAGGGTGGGTGAAGGAGCTTGAAAAGCAGCACCCTGGTACTAGGAAAAGTTCTAGGGAGACTCGGGGGGAGGGGGACGGAGTGCTTTCTGCAGGGAGGATGAGTGGGGTGGGGGGAGTGGCTCACCCCACAGACTGAGGACCAGCACCCAGGCTCCAGCTGCTGCCCCTGCTGCCATCCTGCTTCCTTCCCAGGCTCCTGGCTCTGTCTGCCCCTTTCCTCGCTGTGGCCACCGCCCTAGGTGGGGCTTGTACCCTCTCCCCGTCCTGCCCCATCACAGGGAATGCTAGGAATTCATGCCTCTCTGACAAGAGTCCTTCAGGTTCTAGGAAAAACAATTATCACCCCACCCCTGGGTACAGCCACTGCCCTGGGTGTGGGGAGTGCACCTCCTAGGGTCTCATTCCCTCAGAGCCCTCCACTGCATCCCATCAGTCCACTGAGGGCTGCCTGGTGGCCGACTGGAGCCCATCTTGACTGGACAAGGTTGCTAGGCAACAGGGTTCAGACCGGCTGTGATTTCCAAGGGTGGACCATGGACCTGCCTGCGTAGTGAGGGCATGGCAGCAGGGCTGGGAGACACTGAAGGAAATGCTTGGGGCTTTGTGAGAGAAGCATTTTTTTCTGGGGTTTCTCATGTTTTTTGAAAAAAAATTCTCAACTAAACCCAGGGAAAAAAGAAATTTCTTTATTTAAAACTGCAGTTTTTTTTTTTTTTCTGTGAAACTACAAGTTTACAAGTGAGGAAAGAACTGCCCCCGGGCTGTGCCTCCCGCCCCCCCACCCAGCACACTCCCATCCTGTCCCCCAATCCTGCCCAGATCTTTGACAGGAGGGGTCCCCCACTCTGAGTCTTGTAAAATCCTGAGGATGTTTGAGGGGATCAGATGGCAGGGTTCAGGCAGAGGATGGGACAGTGTTGTTCCCCCCAATACCTGGCTTTTTGCAACCTCCCTCCTCTTTCCCCCTACCCCCTTGGTTTTGGTGTGACAAAAAAAGACACCTCATTTCTGGGGAAACTGAGGGAGATACATATACAAGCACCCCAACCCATATTTAACATATTTGGCAATAACCCCCTCCCCTTTCTTTCCCCGCCAACCTGCAAAAAGTAGTTCAAAGAAAAATTTAAAGATGTATCACTCACAGGGAAGGTGGCATCTTCAATTTTCTCAAAATTACTGAGTTAAGCCCTGCTCAAGGGTTGTGGGAAGTGGGGGGATGGGAGGGCAAGCCCCTCAATGCCTCCACACAAAATGCAGCAGAAACCTGCCTGCACAAGCAAAGAACACCTAAGTGACTTTAGGGGGAGGGCTTGGTGCCCTCAGGGACAGGCCTGGAGCCAGGTGGGTATCTTCACCAGTTCTATTTGTTCCTTTCTCTCACCAGGGCCCCCTTTGGCTGTCACCTAATATGGGAAAGCAAGAAAAAAAAACCCCAACATATTTATATAAAAAAACTACTTCCCCAAATTAAAAATTAAGAACCAATGACAAAATCGAAAAATAAAAAAAAAAATACAGATGGGTCCCAGGGTTTTCCTTTCCTTAAAAAAAAAGTTCAACCCCAAAGCCCAGTCAACAATTCCCTAAAGTAGCAGAAACTCCCTCCGAGGTAGATATCTGAGTCAGACACTCTCGTCCACCGAGCGATTCTATTGGTTTAAGATGAGCTGCGTATGAGGTAATAAAGCCGTCTGGAGGGGCAGGGGGTGGGGATGCACAGGGGGCGTGGCCCATGTCCTCTGTCCAGAAGTTGTGTCCCCATTTTTGGCATCTCTGGTCAGGCAGGGCTGGCATCTCCACAGATTCCAGAGCATAAAAGTGGGGTGGGGAAAGGAAAGTGGGGAAGCCCAGAAAGAGAAACAGAATAGTTGTATATGAGTGTATATGAGAGAGAGAGAGGGAGCGAGAAGAGCAGAGAGACAGAGACAGAGGAAGAGGAGAAAAGGGGGTCAGAAAAATAGGTTTCTGGGTATGTGTTTCTGTGTAAGAGAGAAAGGGGGAGAGGAAAAAGACTGAAAAAAGGAAAAAAGGAGGAGACAGACCCCACTTTCCCCTTAGGGGTCCCATTCTCCCTGACATATAGTCAGCACCCCCAGCACTGAGAGTCTAGTTGGGGAGGGGACAACCCCATTTGCCCTTCTGTCTTGTGCTTCTTCTGTGTTTGGGGGTTTGTCCTCTGGATGCCTGCGTCCTCTTCAAGAGTCGCCTTGTGAGGGGTCCACCCCTGTGATCCTGAGGGGCAAGATCAGTTGGAGGTGTCGGAGTGAACACTCCCTGGTCCCTCGGTTGGGGATGTCACTGAGGATGGGGTCACAGCCTCCTGCCAGCCACCATTTGCCTGGAAAAAGGGAGAGAGGATTAGGGCCCTGGGAAGCCCTGTGTGGGGACAACACTGCTAGGCCCTTGTCTTAGGGGGAATGGAGAGAGGGGGCTTCAAGATCCACTCACCCTCATTTCCCGAGGGCTGTACATCTGGCCTCCCCCGAGGTTATCCCCGTAGCCCCCTGGCCCCATTGAATGTCGGAGCGATTCCACCTGAGGCATCAGAGGAAGGTATGACACAGTGAGGAGAAACCTCAGAAGCAAGAGGTCTTATATCCTAAAGGGGAGGAAAAGGAGTTTGGGAACACCCTGCTCAAGAGAAGATGAGGCACCTGACCTGGGAAGCAGAATAGGAATCTCCGTTGAGCCCGGGCATCCCAAGAAACATGTCTCCGGATCCTGAGAGATTGAAAGAGCCACCAGAGCCTTCGGGGAGCAGAGAGGGAGTTAGGGAAGAGTATACTAGAGCCCACAATGGCAGACAGGACATGAACCACAACCCTCATTTTCCAAAAAGCCTGCTCTGCTAGCTCTGTGGGGATGTGCTCCTATACACAAATTATCCACAAAACAGCATTCCAACACCCAGAAAGAACAGGCGTTCTGAGCCTCCCCTGGCCACCTGCTGGAAGAAAGGCAGAAGTAACTTCACTGGAGTGGCCTCTGTCCCCTGACATCTATCTCCACCCCATCTCAGCTTGGTGCCTCTCACCCCAAAAGCCCCCTTCTCTGCTATGATCCTGCCTAGATAGGAAGCGGGAACAAAAGCAGGAAGAGAGCAAAACAGCCAGCCTGGTGGCAGCGGGATCCACCTGCGGAGGAAGGGGGTGTCGGGGAGCTGGTGCGGCTGTGGCCCCCCTGGGTGACTGACACGGCAGTCTTGACAGCATAGATGTTTGCCTCCTCTTGGAACTTCCCAATATTTTTCTTATAGCGAATCCGCTTGTTGCCAAACCAGTTGGAGACCTGTGGGTGTTGGGCAGAAAGGAGGGTCAGGTGGAAACCTTTCCCTCTGAAGCCGCTCACTGAATAGGATCTGAGAAAACTTCTCTCCAAAGCCCCACAATACCTGAGAGACGGTGATGCCGCACTTTTTGGCGAGCTCCTCCTTCGCCTCCTCACTAGGATATGGGTTACTCAGGTGGGAGTAGAAATACTCATTTAAGACTTCAGTGGCTTGTTTGCTGAAGTTACGGCGTTTTCGCCTACAGAGGAGGGAGAAGGGTGGGTGAGGATGCTGGTGTCCTGACGGGGACTGCCACGCTGCATAACTCCAGAGGTCACCATTGTCATGGAGTACCGTGTTGTGCAACTCGGTGGCCCAAGGTTTTAGACAGGAATGGGAAGGCGTCTGGTGCTGGGGGCCAGCCTTGGTCCCTGAGCCCCACCTGGCATCCAGGAAGCGGGAACGCAGGATCATGACAGCCTCGCAGGTGCTCTGCTTGAGCTGCATCTGGATGGCGCTGAACTTCCGGTGGATGATGCTCACCATGCGCTCCATCTCCTTGGGTGCCACGGGGCGCGTGCGGCTCTGCTCCCTCAGCAGATTCATGACATGGGTCGTGAACTCATTACATGCCTGTAGTGGGGACCGGTGGGCTGGTGAAGAGGAGCCCTCTGGCCTTGGGATTTGCCCCAAGAGCCTCTCCCTCCACCCACTCCAGCCTCCCCTCCTCACCTGCTCATACTTCTCCAGCTCGGAGTGATATATATGGCGGATCTGGGCAAGTTTGCTGCGATAGTCCGAGTGTTCGATGGAGTTGTCAGGGGACACGCCGCCCCCAGAGGCTGCAGCGGCTGCGGCTGCTGCCGCTGAGCCCCCCCCTTTCTCGGGCCCAGCCACACCCTCTGCCAGAAGCATGTTGTCCAAGCGCATCAGCTGTGGGTCCACTGGCTCCTCCTCTTGGGAGCTTCGAATGCTGAGGCCTAGCATGCAGGTGAGTGGACTTAGGGAACCCAGGGACCCCACACCCAGTGCTCAGTCCTCTTGTTGTCTCCTGGGGACCCAAGTGTCCAGGCTTTGGTTCCTTCCCCTGTCCCTTAGCAACCTCCCTAACTTCCTACTTTCCTCAGGGCCCAAGCTGTTAAATTCTTGTAGTGAATAGGGTTCTGTCCCCAAAGTTGAGGAATCTGAGAGGGACCCACATACCGGTTTTCTCCTTGATTTCACACAGGACACTAAAGAGAGCAGGCTTCATTCGGTGACAGTTTAGGGCATGTTTCCTTGGGAGGAATGGGAGCAGGGAAAGAGAAAAGTTGAACTAGAGAAACAGAGCAGGGAGACCACAAGTGTGTGAGGGGGGAGCCTGGGAACAAGGAGGGAGAGCAAATCTGTGGAGGGGGAAAGCAGGGTTGAGACAGATGGAGTTGGGGTGGGGGTTCTTGGGAAAAGGTCAGCTCCTAGAGCATGGGGAAGCTGCTTGGCTTCAGGAAGATGCAGGCAGCAGGCTAAAGGTGCCATGGGTGGGCTGGGGCTTTCAGAGATGGTCTAGGAAAGGTATAGTGGAGGGATTTGGGGGTGACTGGAGAAATGAGGGTGACTAGGTATTTTTCAGAAGAGAAATGGAGGCTGAGGTGGAGAAAAGTCAGAGTCTGAGGTGGCAGAAAGGGGTTGGGGGTGCCGAACTAAGTGGGGTGTGTGTGAAGGGGTCCTGGGGCTGGGCAGGTGGGAGGCTTTGATGCACCTAATATCTGGCTGAGCAGGGTGAAGGGTGGGCGAACACCCTTGGAGGCTGGGGCCATGGGTGGAGAGGAGTGTCAGGAGCTCTGGGGAGGGGTGTGGAGGTCCTCAGGTCTGGAGAGAAGGGGGTGGGCTGCGTGGAGAGTTAGGGGAGAAGACAACGTAGCCCAAGAACAGTTTCTCAGTCTGGGACTCCAGAGATGGGGACGTTACGGGGGGGGGGGGG